GTTATGATCAAAATTGTCAATCAGCAGAGGCTGCAACTGGGTGGGGCGGTTGTAACGCTTGAGTGGGCGGTTGTACCGCTCCCGGAGGGTCCTGGGGTTCCAGTTTTGGGCTGGCAGAAGTATCAGGGGATGGGGGGGCGGTTGTACCGCCTTGGGGGCTGATTGTACCACTTTTGTCGGGAAAATTTTATCAGATCTGGATCGGGATGTATGTGGAGCGGAAATGGATGATTTTGGGGGCAAAATTGGAGAGATTTCATGGATAGAAGGCGGGGAAACTTGGGGAGGTGCTAGATCCACTTGAAACCAAGCAAATCCATGGATCAACAACAAAACATCATCAAACCAACAAATCACTAAAAAAACTGGGGCTATTTTTGATGGGGATTTTCGAAATTAGTACGAAATCAAGCAAAAGAAGGCTAGAAACAAAGGGGGAGACTCCAAATTCGTGATCAACGTGGCTCATGATACCATATGATACGGGGCTAACCCGGTGTAGGCCGATCTTTCACGATTGGAGTGGATTCCCTCGAAGAACACGATGAACACGGGGAAGAACAGAGAGAAATCACAAGGGGAAACACTCAAGAAACAGTCCAATCCCACATCCACTAGACAATCAAACACACAAGATCCACATGGGTACATGAACAACAAAGGGAAAGATACAAGGTAAATTTCATCTCCAAGAGGAGGTCTTGATGATATCCTAGACGGATCTTCCCGTGAAGGGCCTTGATGATATCCCGCAGGATCTTCTCACATGGAGGCCTTGAACTCCATGGGAGTGGTAGTCTCTCTCTCTCAAGAGTAGAGGTAGGAGCAAAGCTCACATACAAATGAGCTATCACTTTGCTAACCCTAATTCTGAGCTAGGGGATGAGTATTTATAGTTCAAGGGGTAAGTTGGGGGCTACATGGGTTGTTGACCCTTTTACTGCTCGCAGGCAGACCGGTTGTACCGGACATGTGAGCGGTTGTACAGCTAGGAGCTAAGGTACCGGTTTTTGGAAGTGTTCGCGGAGGTATGGACCGATTGTATCGGTGGTTGGACCGGTAGTATCGGTCTAGTCACAGCTGGGGGGAAAATCGGGGCTGTACCGGTCTTGTGTCGCTTGATTACAGAAGGTTGACCGGTAGTTGGGCGGTAGTTGGGCGGTTGTACCGGTCGACCAGTAGTTGGGCGATTGTACCGGTATTTCTGGACTGGGCAGATTCTCTTATTCCTCCTCTTCCATGCTTCTCTCGGGGATGGTGTAGTTGTACACTTGCGCTCGCACTCCTCATCCTCATCCATGGTGTTCCGACAATACCTATGTATGCACACGAGAGGAGTGTCAAGTAGTATACCATCCTCGAAGGGATCAAGTGAACACGCGTAAAGGAGATGATTCACCTTTGTGTAAGTGAAGTAGATGTCGCACATGTCACTTGCCGAACGGACTCATGACATGGTGATGTCCGTAGGATGCTCCGCATCACCCTCCAACCAGATGTAGTCCTTGTGTACAAGGGCGAACCAGTCTATCAAATTCATTGTCGCCATCGAGCATCACTGGTTATTCCTTCTCCTATTTTCGTACACTTTGCATTGCATGTTTTGATTCAACCATGTGATTATCATCAACGTATGCATTTAGTTCTTGTTCGGTAGTTTTTATTCACTCACCGAGATCTATTATCATTCATTCGCTGCTAGGTTTCGAGAGTTCTAAAGTTTCCGAAAGAAATTTTAAACTCCCATTCACCCCCCTCTGGTAGACATACTTTGTTCCTACAGAACGGCGACGGAGGAGAAGCGGCCTAGAACCTGAGTGTACTGTTGGAGGTAGAGGACTCGTCGAGTTTCGGCAGGGGTGTGGCGTGGCGGCCGGGGTGGTGGAGTGGCGGCAAAGGCAAGAGAGAAAAACTGAAGGAAAGAAAATAGGAGGATGGCGGCGCAAGGTTCGGGAGGGGTTTTGGGTCGGCCGGGGTTATTGGAATCCTACGTGGGTGTTGTGAGGACTCCCGCAAAGCCCTCCCACCCCCACTTCATCTTGGGTTTGCCGAAGAAAGTATGCATGGACTGCTCGTCGGATTGATACAATCCCGCGTTGGATGACACAAGACGCCCAAACCACGCAGTCCGGACGGTTGCGGGCGGTTTGAGGGTTCGCTTTGAAGATGCCCTGAGGGGCTTCAGGCGCCGTGGAGACGACGTATCAACAAATATTTGATGGTGTGATTAATGTACGCGTGGCAGATCCGATGGCAGGCCAACCAATGGATTTTCCTCAAAATCAGTGGGCTGACTCCTAGCGGCCACCGTATTTTCCTCCTGCCGACCAAACGGCCGTGTCAACCCTTCGGTCACATGAACCCCGATGCACGGGGAAGACTTGAATGAGATCTCACACTTAGATGAAATCGTGAGATCAACCCGAAAAATCATATTTAGACATTTAAAAAAAGTGAAATTATTTGACAACATAACATTAATGTGAGGTATGTCTAGAACTCCGAAAAAATGAGCTCAAAACTTGATGTATATTTAGATATTCAAAAAAGGCAAATTTGAATGTGAATCATTGCAGCTTTGAGTGAATAGTACTTTGACACTACTCACAACCGATTTTGTCTATTTTTCGAGGTTGTACATCAAACATGGATGCGTGTCTACAAGAAATTTAAGAATGTTTGAACATGTATTTTTTCTTTTAAAAAATGATCTCACCTAATGTGAGATCTCACAAATCTCCCCCGACGCACGGGATGACATTGCCCGCTGCAATCAATCCACGCTACAGCTGCCGTCCGATGCCGATCATACGACGAGCCTCTCGTAGCATTAGGAACAAAGGAGAGTTAAGCAAAGGCGGTGTGGCCGGCGGCTAGCGCAAAGCCCCGCTCGCAGCGAAGCCGCCTTCTGCTGCGTTGCGCGTACGCCCGCGCGACACGCGCCGGCTCCAGCAAATGAGGCTGTAACACGTCGACGTGAGGGCCCACCCACACGCGTGTGGACCCGGCGTACGGCGTGGGGCATGCTGACTAGGATATTCACCCGTGCAGCAGCTCGCACGCCTAGGTTGCTACGCGCACATCCAACGGCAGCAAATGCTTCCTTCACTTCACCATGCGTTTTTTTTTTGCGGGAGTTCACTTTATACCATGCTAACAAAAAAGAATTGAGATTTTCGAAATTGAGGGCAAATGTTCGAAGGTCTTTCTGAGAAAAATAAACTCCTAAACAACTACTGCTTGCAAGAAACATAAACAACTATTGTTTGTAAACTCCTACGCTTTAAGGTGCAGAAGAATATATGGCTGTGGTCATATAGAAACGAAACCAGCTTTATGCGAGGGACTTGTTTTTGTGTCTCCACCGGCATTGGCGTGAGAGGCTGACATCCAAAGCCTGTGTATCTTCAGTTCTAAAATAAAATCCGCGCCAAGTTCCTTTCAATACAACTGTAACATCTGAATGAAGCCTTTTCTCTTACTAAATCAAGCATTGTCTATTACTCTTGTGTTTCCAGAATCCTACTTTCATGGCACTCATAATTCACTGGAAATACCTCCCAGGAGGAGCATTATGGCATTTCATGGTATTCAAAGTTCACAAGATATGACTAGGAGGAGCAAGCGCAGAAAATTTCAGATGCAATCATGTCATGTTTGACGATGCCTATGTCCGATGCATCATATTTTCCCCTCGATTTTTTACACCCTTCTAGTTTTGACTCGGCAAAGGTCGGCACGAACCAACCAAATCCCAAAATGCAGAGCATCTTTCTGCCCAATCCACGTCTTGATCAATCAACGTCGACATCCACCCCCACTGAAAGAGGGCTTTCGTTGCTGTTTTCACATAGTATAAAACTAAAGGAAAAAGTCTCTGCTGCCTTGCACAAACACAAACACATTGCAACGCACATTACCACAATGTTCCGTATTCTCTGAAGACAGCGAGACCAAAGACGGACGATTCTTGGAGCAGCAAAGGTCGATGCAAAGGGCACGGAAAAAAATTCAGCAGCCGATGCAAAGTTGCAGCACTACGGAGATGGCAAGATGCTTGTGCGATTACTCGGTTCCAACTGCAGAAAATGTGGCATCTCCCCTCTTGGGTGCCAACAATTCTCGTTCCGCGTCGGCTTCAGCAATAATATATGGCTGCTCTGCTCGGTCGACCGGCGAATCGCCATCATATGAGAAGCGTTCAAATTCAGCTTAGTTTAATGCCGCAACCGCAGCCACAGGAGCAAGAACAAGAAGACGATTCAGTAATGTAATAATTTTTCAGGCCATCACATTCATGCTGCCCCTGCATCAACGCAAGCTGTGCGGCTTTGCTTGTTGGGGGCGGCATTAACGTGACAGCGTCAGCTAATTGCCAACATCAACGTCAAGCAAGTTTGCAGATGCCTCACAGTTAAGGAAGATTCAACAAGAGGGATGAATGATAATTGTTAATCCAGAACCAGCCATTGACCCATATGGAAAGAAGATTCAAGGTTGAGCAACACCATATTTCTTAACAAGCAGTCATCCTCTCCCAGCACTCCATATTTACAGATGAAGAAAGCACAAGCTATCACAAAACCTGATTAACAAGTGGCAATTGCTTATTACTCTAGCTAGCTTACCACTGGCGCATTGCCTGGTATTACCTAAAAACATTTATCACAAAACTCAAGTCTAGTGTGGTAGAAATAGTAGAGCAGGACCATAATCATATACAGTAATCTCTCTGTGGTGTGGTAATTTTTGGTTTCTGTCCTAGTGATGATGATTATAAGCAGTAAGAAAAGGCTGGTGCTTTTTCAGCTGTGCTTCCATCCATCCACCTCCCTTTCTTCCCTGCCTGCTTTCTCCCTGAAAAGCTAATGGTGGAATCCACATCGAGAAGCACAACCGAAGGCAATGGCGGGCACCGAAGTGGTGGCCGCTTTCTCACTCCATTCACTCTGCAACTGGGCGTGCGGATCGCAGCTTTGTCAATGGCGGGTGGTGCGCGCCTAGTAGTCGATGATGAGGTTCCCGAACGGCGCGCGGTGCGGGATGCCCTTGCGCCGCTTGGCCGCTGGAGGCGGCGGCGGCGGCGGCGTGGACGGCGTGAAGCTCTGTCTGGCGGCATTGCGCAGAGGAGAGGAGGAGGAAGCCGCCTCGGTGTCCGACGAGCCCTTGGCGCGGCCGGGCCTGTTGGCCCGCATCACCCTCGCCTTGTCGTTGCCGCCCCCGTCGGAGGAGCAGCCGGCGACCTTGCAGCCGAGGGAGCAGAAGCGGAAGTTGTCGAGGAGGCTGCGGCTGCAGACCTCGCAGAGGTTGGCGCTGCCGGCGCCGCCGCCGCCCTTGCCGGGCTGCTTCTGCTGGGGGCGCTCGTTGAGGAAGACGACGCGCGCGCTGTTGATGACGTAGGTCTGCACGCCGGCGATGTCCATGAAGCGCTGGATGTCCGACACCCGGATGACGTCGTGGTAGGAGGAGCGGCGGATCTGGATGGTGTGGTGGCCGCGGTGCGCGTGCGCGAGGCACAGCGAGCACAGCGCCGCCGCCCCGGCGGCGGCCCCGGCGGCGCAGTCGAGGCAGAACATGTTGCACTCGCCGCTCCGGTGCGACTCGGTGTGCGTCTTGCATTGCGCGAAGAAGCGCGCGGACAGCAGCGGGCGCAGCCACTGCGGCCACTGCTCCTCCGCCGCCGCCGCCGCCACCTGCGGCTCCGCCTCCTCTTCGTCCGGCTCAGGGGCGCCGCCTCCCTGCACACGACAACCACAAGAAAGATTGGTCAGTTCAACAAGAAACGTCCAGCGATGGAAACATTGGCATCCTGACAATCAAGAAATTCGATCTCGTCTGAACGCTGACAAGATTGCCAGAAATCTACTGCGAGTTATCAATCAATCAACCAAAGAGAAGAAACAAAAGAAAACATAAAGGCTAGGACTGGCTAGTACCAAATTCCAACGCATCGAAATGCTGGAGCAGAGAGACGACGCGGAACCAAAACAGAAACACCACCATTAATCAGGGGGCGGGGGAGAAGAAGGGCTAACGCAGAAGACAGGGAAAAAGAATCAATGCTTTGACCGCCATTCCCCACAGGATTGACACGAACTGATCCAACAGCAATCCGCGCGCCCGATAGATACCACAGTAACGCACGCAACCAGTTCCCCTCATTCCTCCGCCCCGGAGAGGAGCACGGACGAAACGAAAAAGAAACGTACAAACATGCCAAGAAACCAGTACTACTACTACTACCAATCAAGCAGGAGAGGAATGGCGATATGCCATCGCAGCTAGGTAGGGGGAAGGGGAGGAGGGTGGGTTAATCAATTACCATGATCCTCCTGTTCTTGAGGCGGAGCTCCTTGAAGGGCGACTCGTGGTCGATGGCCATGCTCACGCACCGCACCAAAAACAACAACAAGAAGCAGAAGAAGGGGCTGGGTTGGGCTGCTGCTGGGGCCTCGGGGGAATCGAAGAGCAGGAGGCGGTTGGTGCGCGTGGAAGGGAAGCGGAGCGGCGGAAGAAGCGATATATGGACGGACGGATGGGCAGGCGGGCAGGCGGGCGGTGGGAGTCTAGAAGTAGACGAAGGAGGGGTTTAGTAGAACGGAACGGGAACGGGAATGGGAATGGGAGGGGTCTCTCCCTCCGAGTGCGCGTGTCTCGTTCTTATCGTCCCAAGTCAGTCAGTCGTCCACCCGGACGGAACCAAACCAAGTCGTCTTCCTCCTCTCCTCTTTCGCTGTGTCTGTGGTGGTATGGTGGCCGCTCTTCCTAAACCCCGGATTAATTAATTGATCCGGCTTAATTAGCAGCGGCCGATGCGTTATTCGCAAAGCGGCCTTCAATTCCCTCCCTCTCTCCCTCCCTCGCATTTGATTACGTAACAGGGATCGAAAGCGAAGTGCCGGATTAATTAATTCATTGATTAAGCCCCCTGCTCTGTGACCTCAGGTTTTGGTCTGAGCGAAATGCACGGGGCACCCGGCGCGGTGCACCCCGGTCCTTCTGCATTAGGGTTTGGGCACGTGTTCCCTACTTGGACAGACGGACATTTCACCCCACTTGATTTGATTTGAGTTGCAACACTTGCACTGTGTTTGTGGTGGTCCTGATGCCCTAGCCCCGCATGTGTTTAGTATAGTGCTAGCTCCACGTCGCGTTTCTCTTTGGGTCACGCTTTGTCCGTGCTTCACAGGTTTAGGCGGCGGCTATATAGTTAAGCCAATTCGAATAAATATAGGTCACGGCTAGATTTTTATTTTTTTGGCGGTTGATGACGGCTAAGACTAGTGTACTACTCTAATTTGTGTGCAGCGAGGAGAGTAGCAACACTCATTACTACTACCACATTACTCCAAACTTACAAAGGAGAGGATGACACAAGAATGGAGACGAAAGCAAAGGAATGCGTTTTGGGAGTAGTATTGGGTGAAGAAAAGAAAAATGTTGCTGCTTGGTAGCATTGCTTAAGGAAGAGAGAGAGAGAGAGAGAGATTAATTTCCAAAGAAGGTAAATGCTTGCTGAGCAAGCATCCAAGTGGTGATTTACTAAGAATGGCATCCCTAAGTTAATTCGCCTTTTGCGGGATATGACAAATTCACAAGTGCTCCTCCGTATATAGCACGGAATGCACTTGCGCTTTCCCGGTCATATGGCCTGATGCAGGAGTCACGCATTCCCTCCCTTGACTTTGGCTAGTGCTAGTACACTGCGCTTAAACTTGCATTAACCCAACACCGGTGCGGCGCGGCATTTGGCAGTTGAGCTGCCCTCACCTCACCTCATCTTTCACGAAACGGTGTGGTTTCCTTGTGTTCATGTAGGGTGTGTGATTAAACAAACGAAGCTGTGATAGCTGCCAACTGTTGTATTGTACGTCAATTCTTGTTCTTTGTTTGGATCATTGGGTGTGCTGATGATGCTTAGGTTGGATCGGTTGCACCATCGGTTTTGCCACCTTCCATTCTTTGGATTACTTATTGCTCGTTTCCAGGCCTTCAGCTCCTTCCACCGCCAATAATGCTGCCCTACGAATTCAACTACTGCTACTAAAAACAGCACATACAGCTTTATCCAAACAAAAAAGAAATAAAAAAGAAATGGGGGCAGCTTGGTTTGTTCGTTCAAGCTGGTGAATTTGCGTGGGATCAATGGACGCTCCGTTTGTTGTTCCCAACATGCATCGAAGAGAGGAGAGGAGGAACTATAAAACTGGAAAGAGGCCAGGGTCGAGCAGAAAGTGTGGGTTTTTGAAAAGATTCTGCCGCCACTCAATCATGATACTATCATCCACCAAAGCCGCTTTGCGCCTTCTTTATTCACATGCCGCTGCATTGATTCTTTCTCTCTCTCTCTCTCTCTCTTTTTCTTAATGAAAGCTAGCGGGGAGCAGGGAGGAGGCAGTGGAGCCGTTAACCTTAATGACACACTTCGTCAGATACTTATTATTGTATACATCTAGCGACCCCCAGGATTGCAGGGCCAGCCACATGCCGTGCCTGCCTCCCCAAAAACCCTCCCTGTGTGCGTGCAGCCAAATCAAGCGTGCTCCTTCTTTGCTTGTGCTAATCTTAATCCTGTGATGTTGCTAGCTACAACTGCAAAAATAGATAATGCTAATCTTAATGCCACTTGTTGAGTATATTGTGTACGTGTATATTTGTGTGTAGGGCCCATCTCCTGTTTTCTTTGTATAGTTGAGGTTGTGGTTCACCTCTGTACTTATATATACGTGCATGGTGCATCGATCAATACATCAAGATTGCACAACCCATAACTTGTCCTTCTACATGATATCTATCGCAGCACGATCCTAAACCCTAAAGCCGCCGCCGCCGCGCCTCCACACGCCGCCGCCGCCACCACCACTCCCCGCCGCCGCCACCAGCCGCCGCCGCCGCCACCATCCTCCCGGTCGCCGTCGCCGCCGCTGGTAGCCGCCGCCTCTCCCTACCACCTCGCCTTCCGCCGCCGCTGCCTCTTCCCGAGGCCGCCGCCGCCGAACGCCCCCGCTTCCGCCCTCTTTCCCGAAACCCCCTCCTCCCACACGCGTCGGCCCAGCCCCTGCCACCCGCGCCGCCGCACCCCGCAACCCAGACCACCCCGGCCTTCACCTACCCGCGCCGCGTCTCCAACCTAAATCCTAGCCATGAGCTCCTCCTCCTCCACCGTCTTCAACCCGTTCGCCGGTCCCGGCGTCACCCTCGTCCGCGACCTCAACATCCATGAGCGTGTCCCGGTCAAGCTTGATCACACCACCGCGTCCTACTCCGCTTGGAAGCGGTATTTCTCGCTTGTGTTCCGTGAGTACCTTCTGCACGGCCACGTGGACGGCACCGTGGACTCGGCGCTCATGATTAACGACGAGGAGTGGATGATCCTCGACACCACCATCATCCGCTGGTTTTACCTCACCATCTCCAGCGACCTCTTCCACACCGTGGTGGACAACGAGGATGACGCCTATGCGGTTTGGACCAAGCTCAACGACATCTTCACCGACAACCGGCTGCAGCGCAAGATCCTGCTCTACTGCGAGTTTTACGGGTGCCAGCAACTTGACTCATCCATCGATGATTTTTGCATGCGCCTCAAGAAGCTCGTCGATGAGCTCCGTGATCTCGGGGAAAAGATCGGCGACGAGCTCCTCATCAGCACCCTCTCCGGCGGCCTCAACGAGGACTTCGGAAACGCCGCCTCCAACCTCACCCTCATCCCGGAGCCCACCTTTGCTAAGGTGGTCGCGTACCTCAAGTTGGAGGAGCGCCGGATGCGGGTGGTGCGGACTCGCGTGACACACACCGCCCTCGTCGCCGGCACCCGCGGGGGTTCCGCGCCGCCACCGCTGCGCCCGACGACGCCACCGGCAACGCCCGCCTTCCCGCCAGGCTTCCCGCCCGCCCCGGCCGCCCCTTCCCGCCGCCCCAGCAGGCGCCCAATGGGGAGGGGCGTCGCGGCGGCCGTCGTGGTGGCCGCAAGCAGGGGGGCGCAGCCGCTCAGGGAGGAGCACCCCGCCCACCGCAACAGGCTTCTCAGCCGGCCCCGTGGTACGCCGTCCAGAACCCATGGACCCGCGTTGTTCACGCCTACTCCATGCCGGTTCCTCGGGCCCCTGCCCCGGGCATTCTCGGCACCCGACCCCAGCCACACCAGAGGTACTACGCCGCGCTATGCGGTGCCCTACGGTCAGCAGCCGCCGCTGCTGCCCCTGACGGCCGCGCCGCCTCTCCCGCCGGCACCGTGGGACCCGGCCCTGTTGGCGGCTCTCCACAACACTCCTTCCCCGTCCAGCTACACCGGCGGCGGCGACTGGTACATGGACAGCGGCGCCACCGCTCACATGGCGGCGTACCCCGGTAACCTCCACACCGCTCATCCTGTCCACACCTCCAACCGCATCACCGTCGGTGACGGCTCTTCTCTTCCTATCACCCATATTGGTCATACATATTTTCCGTCTAACTCCACTTTCATATCCATGTCCAATATTCTAGTTTCTCCTGAACTTATTAAAAATCTTGTTTCTGTTCGTTCTCTTACACATGAAAATCCGGTTACCGTTGAATTTGACGAATGTGGTTTTTCTGTTAAGGACGCTCGCACGCGGATGGTGCTCCACCGATGTAACAGCCCCGACGAGCTCTACCCGGTTCACTCCGCCACCTCCACCACCTCCGCCGCCCCTGTCGCTCTCGCCACCGGAGTGGATCTTTGGCATGCTCGCTTGGGTCATCCTAATCCTGCCACCCTTCGCCACATACTTCGGAGTTTTTCTTTCACGTGTAATAAGAACAAGGATCACTCGTGTCGCCTCGGCAAACATGCTCGTCTTTCGTTTAGGGCTTCTTCTTTTGTTGCATCGTACCCGTTTGAGTTAATTCACAGTGATGTTTGGACCTCTCCAGTTGCCAGTAATACGGGCTTTCTTTATTATCTTGTCATACTTGATGATTTTTCGCATTATGTGTGGACCTTCCCGTTGCGCCGCAAGTCGGATGTGATATCCACTCTCGCCGCCTTCTACTCTTATGTTCTCACGCAGTTTGGTCATCCCATCCTCGCGTTGCAGACAGACAACGGGAAGGAGTTTGACAACCTCGTTGTTCGTACTCTCCTCACCACACATGGCACGATCTTTCGTCTCACTTGCCCGTACACCTCGCAACAGAACGGTCGTGCTGAGCGCATCTTTCGCACTCTCAATGACTGCGTTAGGACTCTTCTCTTTCATGCCAATGTGCCTCCGCGCTTTTGGCCCGACGCTCTCGCCACCGCTTCTCTCCTCATAAACATCCGCCCATGTCGTACTCGCGGGAACTTTACACCTCATCATCTTCTCTTCAGTGCACCCCCCTCTTATGATGGGATTCGCATCTTCGGCTGCCTTT